TAAAACTATTAAATAATTTCTTTAAGCAGAAGTAGTCCAGAAGGACTGCATGCTTTCCCAGGCCACTCAACCTTAAAAGCAGTATGGTGTGACACAGCCTAAGATTTTTACAATAGATAAAACATGAAAAAAACACCATAGATCATTTTTTCCTTAATTGCTTACCATTGAATACTTCATTGAACTCTCCAGGGGGTGCATGAGTGATGAATTTTGCAGCTATACGCACCTGCAACAAAGCAGAAAAGTAATTAAAGACAAAAGACAATTTACTGAGGTCATACATATTGAAGCAATTCACCAACAAAACCAACTCTGAAGCTACAGAAAGTGGCAGATTTAGGGAGAAATGTAGGCATGCATTGTCAAGACAGAAATAGTCTCCTAAGACTGTTCAAAGCAAGGCTGGGCAGGGCTTGCAGGAGCAGGCTGGTCTACTGGAAAGTGTCCTTGCCCATGGCAAGAGGTGGAACTGGATGATCTTCAAGGTCCCTTTCAACCCAAACCATTCTGGGATTCTGTGAAGGCACGTGGAACTGTGATGGTGAAGGCATCAATAACTGAAAAGGCCAACCCTCAATGTCCAGAAACTCTGAACTGGAAAAGAAAAACCCCATGTCTTCTAAAAGTGTAATAAAATTGACACATGTTCTGAAATCCAATATATGTGTCTTGCACTGTTAGAATTTAGGTGGTCCAGGTATTGATTCTGTTGGAGTTAGGAAGAGTTTATGGTTTTCATTATCAAATCTTTTATGGCTTTTACAGGACCAAAGGGAATAGAAAGATCTTGGAAGAAATGAAAGAGGAAATGTCACAAAATTAAACCTCTCCCTTAGAATAATAAAAATGTCCCATTTCCTCTGATAAGCCCAGCTAACAAAGCTGACCAATGAGCCTCTCTGGTCTAACAAGACATTTATTGGAAGTGACTGCAGAATTGCTCATTACAACTCTGATTGCTTTCTACTTCTCATTTTGAGCAGTAAAACAAAGAAATGTGGATATATATCCAACTGCTTCACCTGAGTTATCACCAGAGCTGGAAATAACTCACTTCTCTCAACAGTCTTCCCTGTTTTAATTAGAAATTGTTTGTATTGTTTTTCACATAATTATTTAAAGCAAGCCATGAAAAGAAATAAACACTTTTCCAAACTTAAGGTAATTGCCTTATTTCAGCAGGATCAAGTAACAATTCTGCCTTAACTGGATTGAGCTTCAGATAAAAATAGATTGTCTTCCAAATCAGCAATGATTTCAAAAAAATAGATATGCATTCTTTTTGCCTCAAGTAATTAAGCAATACGAAGAAAACATTAAAAAGACAGTATCTTGTGTAATTGATACGATGCAAGACATAAAACCATTTTCTCTTAATCTTCTGGTTTTAGGTTGGTAAGTAGAGAGCAGTTCTAAAAATTGAACTGTTAAACTGTTTGAAAACTTTCACTATTTAAAGAGCTGTAATTAGGACTGATTGGTGCCACAATACTGTTGAATTTCACTGTCAGAAATTTGGGCGGTGATGAAGAGCCTGGCAGTTTAGAGACCCTGCTGCTCAATATCCTCAGTGGACTTTGCTCAGAGTCCTGCCCAAAAGGCTGAAAGGTTTCTGAAAGGACACCGTGTGCTTTTGGGAGCAAGCACAGCTGACAGCACAGCAGCAGCAGCACCGTGCTAAAGCTCTCCCAGGTACCGACCACTACTGCTGGGAGGACAGCACTGGAACACTCCCTGCAAATTAATTAACAGATTCTCTTTTAAAACGTGCTTCAGATGGCAAAACAAAGCCTCTAAAAAGCTATAAAATTGAATCTCTTATAAATTTATGCAATGATGTTGAGGCTGCAGAACATGAAACCCTTGTAAAAGGGGTCACTGTTTTAGTAGGCTGAACTTTAGATCAGTGGATTCTCATAAGGAAATCCTTATGGGAAAAACAAACAACAAACAGAAAAACACCCCAAGCGTTATGTGAGAGATTTTTAAAGTCTTCAACAAATTCTCTCACTTAGAAAGAGGAACAAAAGTAAATCAACACAGAAAGGCCTCTGTACTTCAATCAAATGTTATTACAAACCCAGTTGTGAACTAAGCAAAGGCTGCAAGTGGAAAGTGTTAATTTGGCTAATCATCCATTGCTCTGCCTCTCACAGATCAATAAAATACAAAACATTTCAGTCAAACTATTGAAATCATGAGTGCAGGAAATAGGCTGAGGAGTGATTAATTTGAAATATCAAGCATGTGAATGGTTGTTGGCCTTCAGAACTGGTTTCTTGGAGGCCAAGATGTCAGGATGTTTCTGTCAGGTGTCAAGATGCTTCTCTGCAGAAACACCAAAATAGGACTTTGGGCAGCTTGCTCCATTTCCTGGCCCGTGGAGCCATTTCAGGTGCCATTTCAGCTCTGCAGCATCAACTTCCTGCTTCTAAAATGGGGAAAGTGTCTGAGGGGAAGGGAAGCTGCTCAGCCGTTAGTTTCAACTGGTAAAACAGCAGCAGAATGAACTTCAGCAAAACAGGGAAGATTTCAGATGAACTTAAAAGAAAATCACAGAATCAGAGACTGGTTGGGTTGGAAGGGACCTTAAAATCCATCCAGTGCCACCCCCTGTCATGCCCAGGAACACTTTCCACTGTCCCAGGCTGCTCCAGCCCCAGTGTCCAGCCTGGCCTTGGGCACTGCCAGGGATCCAGGGGCAGCCACAGCTGCTCTGGGCACCCTGTGCCAGGGCCTCAGCACCCTCACAGCCAAGAATTCCTTCCCAAAATCCCATCTAACCCTGCCCTCTGGCAGTGGGAAGCCATTCCTCCTGGTCCTGTCACTCCACGCCCTTGTCCCCAGTCCCTCCCCAGCTCTCCTGGTGCCCCTTTAGGTGCTGGAAAGGAATTTAAGGTCTCCTTGGAGCCTTCTCTTCTCTGGACTGGACACCCCCAGCTCTCCCAGCCTGTCTGAGAAATTAATCTCGTACCTAAAATACACCCATAGAGAATAAAGGAGTGAAGCTTGAAGGATGGAATAAATTAATTTTGTAGCTCCATTGATGTTTTTGGGTTTTTCATTTACTTAAAAGTACCGGTAAACTCAGACTTTAAAATTTAACTTACATAAAATTCTAGACTCATCTGAATAGTCACATACTACAGTAAATCTTTGCTGCATGTTTCTCTTTCAGATCCTCCCTTAAGGTTATCCTTCTCTGCCTGTGTGAGGCATGGAGTTAGGTGAAATGGAATGTTCTAAAGGCCATATAAATTCTGCTCTGGAAGACTTATTTCAAACAACATCACCTAAAATACTGACTAATGGATGAATTGCACCTCTAAAGCTCTGCTTGTTTCATAAATGATGTCACTCAACCTGAAATTGCAGTTTAAAAGAAAAATTAAAGCAACCCCTGGACTTGTAAGATCCTTGAAGATCCATGAGCCTGAATAACTCCTCCAGAATGTTAAGAAACAAAGCAAACACAAAGTGTAACACTTCTTTGAGGTAAGGAAGAGTAAGAGTATTTTTAAACCACTGTGTGTAGACAATGGTGTATTACCTGGCAGAGAACTTGCAGTCTGTAACTTGCCCACATTGCTACACAAGAAGAACAAACTGCTAATTTTCCCCTTTCCTAAAATAATTATGACTCTATTTGTTCCTACTTAGTCCTTCCCATCCAGTATAATTTGTAGGATCTACATCAAAGCTCCTGTCAGCAGCTGGGGTGAGCAGAAAACCGACAACACGCTCAGATGGTATTTAGGAAGTGAAGAGGTTGCAGAGCACCTTATAGACACCCTGGTTACTTTGCTTATTTGGGAAAAGCACCGCTGAAAACACATTTTCGCAAAATCATTTTGGTTGGAAAAGACCTTCAAGATCACCAAGTGATCCACCTGTGACTGACTCCCACCTTGTCAACAAGACCAGGGCACTGGGTGCCACGTCCAGTCCTTCCTTGGCCATGCCCAGGGATGGGGACTCTAGCACCTCCCTGGGCAGCCCCTTGCAAGGTCTAATTGCCCTTTCTGTTAAGAAACTCCTCCTGATGTCCAACTACACCTCCCCTGGTTTAGTTTGAGACTATGTCCATTTTCGTGCACAATGGCTGGCCGAGACGCCTCAGCTGCACCGAGGCAATGAGGAAATCGGAAGGCAATGAGGAAATCGGAAGGCAAAATGCTACTCTGGTAAGGAACAGCCGGTTCTTCAGCCGGGCGGCGGCGGCCCGGTGGTGTCGGGGGCCCGCCCGCCCCGAGGCGCTCGCAGACCGGCACACCAGCACCAGGCGAGCTTGCCCGCATCTCCCCACCCACGGCCTTCCCAGGGGCAGCGGCACCAACCCACAGCGAAGGGGCGGCCACCCCCTTCCTTTACCTTCTCCTCATCCGACACCCGCTCCTCCAGGTCCGCCATCTTGGCAGCTGTGTGCCCGGCCCGCGCAGTGCATGCCGGGAGCGCCGGGCGGTGTCCCGAAAGCGCTGGTGGCGCCATCTTAGCTGTGGGCAGACACGGCGTGGCCGCCATCATAGGAACGGGCGCGTTCTCGCGGGACCGGCTGACAGAATCGCCGCCTCCCGGAGCCGTCGGAGCTCCCGGTCATCGCGTGGGATATGCTCGGGCGGAGCAGCGGTGATGGACTCGACGAGCAGGCTGCTGGAAGGGCCCTGCCCTGGTCGTGCCGGCCCTGTCCCGGCGTGCCCGTGGGCTGAGACGGCTGGGAGCTGTAGACCGGAAGCGCATCCGCCGCCATCTTAGCTGCGGGCAGACGCGATGCTGCCACCATCATAGGAACGGGCAGGTTCTTCGCTACCGGGAACACGGCGGTGGCGAACCTGCCGCGTCCCGGAGCCTCCGGGAACCCCGGCTGTGATGTGGTGGACGATCGGTCCGGGATTCGCCCTGGAGCAGCGGTGACGGGGTGGGTGAACGGGCTACCCGCGCTAGCGGAGCCCCGCCCCGGTGCTTGTCCCTCCCCTGTCCCGGCGTGCCCCGTCGGCGGTGATGGCGGAGGGCAGCGGCAGCGGTGGGAGCGGCCGAGGGCCGCCCTCGGCTTTGCGGCGTTGGGAGCAGCTGCGGCGGCGGGCTGCGACGCCCTGGGCCCGCGGGCTCCTGGCCGTGGCCGCCGGGCTCGGGCTCCTGTACGCGGTGCTGCGGGTGCCGGTGCGGCTCCGGGACGGCCTGGCGGCCGGTGAGGGCGGCAGGGGCGGATGGCGCCGGGGGGAGGCGGCCCCTGCCTGTGGAGCCGGGCGTGCGGCATTCTGGGCTGTATCGGGAATCGTATCCAGCGGGAGCGGGGCAGCGCTTGTCCCGCTGTGCCGGCTACTGCCGGCGGCTCCGCAGTGTCCAGCTCTGGGACCCTCCGTTCAGCAGCAGCGCTGCGGGGCTGGAGCGTTCCAGAGAAGGAGACGGAGCTGGGGAAGGCCTGGGGCACCAGGAGGGCTGGGGGAGCTGGGGCGACTTAGCCTGGGGAAAAGGAGGCTCAGGGGGGATCTTCTCGCTCTTTCCGACTCCCTGACAGGAAGGGACAGCCAGGAGGGATTAGGCTGTGCTCCCAGGCAACAGGGACAGGGCAAAAGGAAACGACTTCCAGCTGTGCCAGGGGAAGTTCAGGTCGAACATCGGCAGGAATTTCTTCCTGAGAAAGGTGGTCAGGCGTTGGAACGAGCAGTCCTGCGAGGTGGTGGAGTCTCTACCCCTCGTGGTACGCAGGGAACAGCTGGACCTGGCACTCAGTGCTCTGGTCTTCTTGTCAAGGTGGGGATTGGTCACAGGTTGGACTTGATAAGGTCTTTTCGAAACTAATTGATGTTCTGATTCTGTGAGTCTGTCCCAGCAGTGCCTATGGGCTGGTTGTGCATCCCACCTTTGCTCTGTGACACACTGAGCTCGTCACCTAACCCCAGGGTTAGGGACACGGCTGGGGACTGGGCAGTCCCGGGCAGCTGAAAGCAGCCAGGGCACTGCCCCGTGCTCCCACCTGGAGGTCTGTCAGTCTGTCCTCTGCAGCCCTGCCCTGGCCACCACTGTCCCTGTCCAGCCTGTGCTGGTGGCAGGTGACGAGGCTGATGTGCAGTTTGAGTCCAGACCATGGCCAGAGCACCACTAGATAATTGCATTCCCTGCATTGTGCTCTCCATAGCAGGAGGGAGAGGTCTATGGAAAATCTATGTTAGCACTGAATATAAATTTACATTAAAACAGGATGATTTTGTCTTAATTTGAAATAATACATTACATTGGTTTGTTATGGTCCTCCAGCCACTGTAGGGGTGAAACCATAAGATGCTTTGTCTAGAAATGTACAGCCTTTTTTTTTTTTGGTTGGATGTAAAATTTGACTGTCACAGGTCAGTACAAACAAAATAATACGTGGTGATGATTTCCCTAACAGTGCAGCATTATAAAGCTACTAGGTTTATAATCTACTATATATTTGCATGCTATTTGGCATTCTTTAATGGACAAGCTATTTTTGTTTTTAGTTCTACTTACTAAGTCTTTGGTTTTGTTTCTCTTAACAGCGACTGTGTTCTTAAGCACTTTGACTCCAAAATTCTACTTTGCCCTTACAGTAACTTCATCTTTTATATCTGGACTGATATTTGTAAGTAGTCCACTTTTTTTTTTTTCTTTTTTAAACTTTAGCACCTCTCAGATCACTTTGAGGGGTATAGGGGATGAATATCAGACTCTAGAGGGTGCCTTTGTGCTGGGAAGGAACTTCTCTGATGTATCATTGCAACTCCTTTGCTGTGTGTGTTGTATGTTCTCACTCACACTGTATGAGCGAGAAAATAACTTGCACAGAATGCCAGAATGGTTTGACTCGGCTCCAGGCACTCCCTTGGGTCCTGTCACTGGTCACCAGAGAGGAGAGACCAGTACCTGATCCAGGCACAGGATCCACATTGGTCTAAGGCTGACAGTTTGGTGTAGTCCTTGAGGGCTTGTGATATGCAGGCATTTTTAATGGCTTCAAAAAGAGATGGTAATATTTTTGGCCCAAAATTTCTGCTAAGTGTCTGTCATTGCTGTTAACTCTTTGTTAGCCTCTCTCTTTCTGGTTAGCAGAACATCTCAGTTTAATGGGCCATTTTGTCCTTTATTCTTTTAGATTAGATTATTTTTGTGAAATGAAAAAACTACACCTGTGTTGAGTACTACAAATTTGGTTTACAGGTAGGGCTACAGCTTGAATTATCCTCACCAGAAAAAGAGCATATAATGGTTTTTTGCCTCTGTTCCCAGTTTTTCTATACAGAAACTTCTGAAATGGTTTATGAGTTACCCTAGTGACCAGGGCAGGGAGGAGAATAACATTTGACTAAAATTTTGCAGGTTGTTTCCAATCTCTTTCACGTTCTGTGAGTGATCCTGCATGACAAGACAGGCCAAACCAGATCGTTTGTGTTACTCTGTATGGAGATAAGTCCCATCCCTGCTCATTTCTAAGGGGATGTACTCACTGTGATCACTCTTCACCCCTCATGTTTTCTGGGAGGTGTCACCTAAGGGAGTTCCTGGTGCTTTTTTCTCCGGTGACAGGTGTTTGAGTGGTGGCACTTCCGAAAATACGGCACGTCCTTCATCGAGCAGGTTTCTGTGAGCCATCTGAGGCCCCTCATCGGGGGTGCAGAGAGCAGCCCCCCAGCCCCAGCAGCTTTCTCGGCAGGGGACAATGAGAGCAGCAGGCAGAGCATGCCAGGTGATTCTCGTGTGTCCCAGCACCTTTCCTTAAGCTTCAAGGTGGCTTTTAATGGCTTTGCCTCTGCATTAGTGCTTCTAAAATATGGGCAAAGCCTACATCTTACAGTGTTTTGTTAGTAGTGGTAAAAATAAACTAAATAATAATACTTTTTTACTCTAAACCATTCATTGTTAAAGATACGATTTAACAAATGTTAAACAGTTAGCTAAAAGCATTTCAGTAACATTAGTTATTGACTGTTCTAAATATGTGCAAGGTAAATACTGCATGAGTGTACATGCATTGCTTAATCTTCCCACCCTGTGCTTTTGTACCTCAGAAATGTTGGGGAGCAAAGATACTTACGGAATAACAGAAGTTTAAGAAGATGATGATTGCATAATAATAAAATTAAAGCAGCTTTTGAAAGCAGAACTGCTTTTGATTTGCTGCATTTTAACTTCAAGGTATCATTTCCCGTGCTTTTAATTTAAAAAGTACTTTTTCTTTAATTCCTCAGAGTGCAAAGTGTGGCGAAATCCTCTCAATCTTTTCAGAGGGGCAGAGTATAGCAGGTATTAATTATCTTGCTTTCCACTGCATATTTTTAAATTTAATCGGGGGCATGCACATGACTTCTTCACAGAGCTTGCACTGGTAATGTCAGGAGACAGCTGGAGACCTGCAAGATTATAGGGGTGATTGATACCAATCCTGTTTAAAAGGCACCAAGCCAAGCTTTGGTAGTTTCAATGTTAAGAACAAAAATATTACTATAACATCTGGGCTTTTTGAGAGTAAAGTAGGAAAAAAGCTTTATTCAGAGGCTGAGACAGTGATTCTCAATCTAAATTCTCTTTTATTAAACTATGTTGTAAGTCTCCTAGTGTTACTTCATGGGAAAAACTGCTTTCTAGGAAGCCAGTTCCCAAGTAGTTTCGAACTTTACAAATTATTGAACAGTAGTACTTGAAACTTTGCATTGGTAGCTTTAGTATTTTATTACAGATTGTCTACACTAGGCACATCAGCTATCCCCTTGGTATCAGCATTGCTAATTTCTAGGAATGCCTCTCAGTGAAATTTCTGCTGTTTTTAGGTACATGTGGGTGACTGGGAAGGAGCCTCTTACTTACTATGACATGAATTTGTCTGCTCAAGATCATCAGACGTTTTTCACATGTGACACGGATGCCCTTCGGCCCTCAGACACAGGTACTGCTGTCTGTGCAAGGTGTGGCACTGTTGGCCACTGGCAGGTGTGTGCTTTTGCTGAACTACAAAGGGAGTGCAAGTTACCCTGTCAAATGTTCTGTCAAACTGTATCCTTCCTCAACTACTGAAGAGGTTTAATAGATGAGAGTGGTTTGGGTTGGGAGGAGCCTTAAAGCCTAAGTTCCACCCCTGCCATGGGCAAGGACACCTTCCACTGTCCCAGGCTGCTCCAAGCCCCCTCCAACCTGGCCTTGAAACTTAGTGTTTACTGAAATTTAGTGGAAAGATGTTGTTTTATGCTGTGTATTCTCTACAACTTTAGTGGTGTCAGGGTCCTGACATTTTTTAAGATCTCACACATTTCAAATAATTAACACAATATTGAAAACCTGGATTATATTCTCAACAGCCAAAATGTGGTCTCATTGAAACCTTAGTAATGAATAGTGCAGTCTCCAGTTTTTTTTCCTTGTGTTCCACATGTTTAGTGCAGAAAATGTTCTTTACCTGGTTATTGTCAGTGTGGGTGTGAATTATTGTCAATTTGTCACATTCCGGAGGTGTTCCTTGTCAGCTGGCTGTGACATGTTTGATATGAAAGATGTGTTTTTATTTCACAAAAGGGAGTGAATTGTCTCGCTTGCTGAGCCAAGACTAATATTTTGTTTCCAGAAGAAAAGTCAAATATTTTTCCACGTTATTCTTGTTGGACAGCAGGAGGTTTTGTTCCAAAAGAAACATGTATAGATTCTTCAGTTTTCTTATCGTCCTTGAGATAGGCCAGATATGGAGCTCCATGAATGTAAGGTTTTGGAGTTCTTTCAGAACTGGTTTTTAGTGTGAAAGTTAATAATCCTGCATAGAAAATGGTAGCTCTGAGAGTGTTGTTTTCCTAGAAGTTGGTTTTCACTTTGTGTTTTCCAGTTTTACCAAATGGAAGCATGGTGGGGAGGGATTTGGAGTCATTGCATTGAAATAATTTTGAATTCAAGTTGTAGTTCAAAGGACACTTCTGAATAGATTTCATCCTTTTTACTTGTTCCCTAGAACACTTTCTAATAAGCTGATAAATGTTTATCTTGACTTGGCTTTGCCATGTGGTGCCACTCAAATGTGCTTTGTAAATCTAAAAATAAATTGTTAACCCTTTGTGATCTGACAGTTGTAAAAAAATAATCATAGAACAGAATGCCAGGATGGTTTGGGTTGGAATGAACCTTAAAGCTCATCCAGCTCCACCCCTGCCATGAGCAGGGACATCTCCCACTGTCCCAGGCTGCTCTAAGCCCTGTCCATCCTGGCCTTGGACACTTCCAGGGATCCGGGGGCAGCCACAGCTGCTCTGGACAACTTAATATTGAAGTACAAAACTCTACCTGTGAAAGACACCACTTACTCCATCACTGTTTTCTTTGAAGTTCTGTTTGAAAGCTTAAATTAAAGTTCAGTGCAGGTCTATGCAAGAACCTGTGTTTAACAATTGCTCCTGCCAAGCTTTCAACAAATCTTGGGAAATGTTTCCAAAAATCTGTAGCAATTTAGAAATTGTACATCTGTCTGGTTGTGTAAGCTATGTCTGTGCTCCTTGTAGGAGTTCTGAAATGGTCAGTGAGGAATCTTCCTGCTGATGTTGCTTTCTTAAACTAAATTTGGGGTGTAAAGAGCTGTTGCAACAATTTGATGCTTGTGGTGGGAGCAGGCTGAATTTAAAACACTTATTTGTTCTTCCTTACAAAAATCGTACAGCAAACAGGAATTTTCAGACTGGAAGGGAACGTTAATTAGAGCTGGCTCCCAGCAGCCAGTGTTGGCTCCAGTGGCTCCCAGGTCTGTCACAGGTGTCCTTGTCCCTCAGCAGCCTTTCCATGTTTTTTGTACAGTCATGCAGAAAGCGTGGAGGGAGAGGAACCCACAAGCCCGGATTAAAGCAGCACACCAAGCCCTGGAGTTGAACAATGAGTAAGTTCATCAATTCAGTTGCTGTATTTCTAGTGTGAAGGATTAAGTGGAAGGATATTGAGCACACTATCAGTTTCTTCATCTAGTGATTCACTTTTAGCAAAGTTCTGAATGCTTAAGGGGGACTCTTAGCACTGGGAGTTGCATATGGGGTTGTAAATATTCCTGAGGTATTGAACTGTCCTACTAAAAACATCTTTTGTTCTGCTTTTTTCCTTAAATCATTGTATCAGTGTTATTAGAAATCTTATTCAGGTATGGAGTGGTCTGAATTGGATATAAGATCATGTATTTCAGAGGTGGCATTGTGGTAGAACTGTATTTGGAATTCACAGATGCCACTCCTGTAAAGGATTTAAGAATACTCTGTAGCATAAACCAAAGAATTTCACCCACAACTCTAATCTGCTTTGTTATGTTGTCTTGTTATTTTTGTGTAAGATGTTTAAAAACCTCCTGGTTTTGAAAAAGCAAACCAAACAAAAAAAAAAACACCTTTCCAGAAAATTAAAGACCATTTTTACAGTTTCAAGGAAAATAATTTAACTTGCTTTAACAATTTTTTCCTTTGCTGTTTCTCCAAATGGGAGGGATGTGTGTGGTTTATTTCTGTAAAAAATGGAAAAGGTTTCTTTTTTCCTGTAACTTCCCCCTTTGAACTCAAGTCAGTATTTTGGAATTTTAATATTGTCAATGCCTACATCTTATATATAAGTGAATCCTGCCGTTTCTAATACTTCTAACACTTACTAAAAATACTAAACTTTCTCCCTCAAAAGAACTAGTAGGTTTTTCTCTTATTTTAGTTGTGCTACTGCATATGTCCTCCTGGCTGAGGAAGAAGCAACAACTATTGTGGATGCTGAGAAATACTTCAAGCAGGCTCTGAAAGCAGGAGAAATGATTTACAGAAAATCTCAGAACTGCCATTCCCAGAGCCCCCAGCACGAAGCACAGCTGAGTAAGGACTTTGACTCACATGAACTTGTGGGTTTGTGTGAGCAGAAATGTAAAACTAAAGTTATAATTAGGAGAGGTAAGGATTGAAACTGATAGACTAATATTTTTTTGTCTTTGTAATCAGGAAGAGACACCAATGTATTGGTGTATGTGAAAAGGAGGTTAGCTATGTGTGCCAGGAAACTTGGAAGAATACGAGAAGCAGTGAAAATGATGAGAGATGTAAGTAAAAGTAAAAAAAACTGAGTTAACCATTGTTTTCAGTCACATTGTCCTAATTGATGGTTTTAAGTTAATTTCTAGGCATCATAATTAATAGAATTATTTTCCCATTAGATTTGCACATCATGATTAAATGGGGCTTTGGGTAGCCTGGTCTAGCAGGAGGTGTCCCTGCCCTTCTGCTATGGCAGGGGCTTGGAACGAGATGTGCTTTGCTTCCAACCCAAACCATTCTGTGATTTTATGAAATGCACTTCTTTTCATGCTGCTTCCATGCCAGTTTCTAACACTCTGAGACAATAGAACATCAAAAAATCCTGGATTGTTGTACTGATTTCTATTAAGTATTAAAGTGATTCAATAATAATTGCAATTGCAGTTCTGTCTGTAATTTATTTATCTTTACTGATTTGCAGTTGATGAAAGAGTTTCCACTTCTCAGTATGCTGAACATCCATGAAAACCTCCTGGAGGCCCTTCTGGAGTTACAGGCTTATGCAGATGTCCAGGCAGTTTTAGCCAAGTATGATGGTAAGTGTTGCCTGTTGGAAGACGTGGGTGTTTTGGAGCAGGAGTATAAATGGGCTGGGCAAGGGATGTCTGTGCACAGGCAGGAGTGTACCCATGACCTCAGCAAGGTGAGCAGGTTCCCTTCATCAGTAACAAACAGGTGCTTGTGGAGTGCAGGTCAAGTTCTCCTTTTGACTGCTGAGCTCAAATTTAGGCAAACTAAATTGCATATGAATTACTTCCTATGTTTTTAAGTTACTTCTAATCTGTAAAGAAATCCTTGCTTCAATTCAAGGATTATTTTAATTAATCTCTTCTACATCCCTGCATATGCCTAAATTCATCAGCCTTTTTCAGCCAGCACATAGCCCTGTAAGTAATTGATGTAAATTAGCTGGAAAAGGTAGTTTTCCTTTTTGTCATCTTCCAGGCTTGGTCTTGTGCTTCTGTAATGCTGAGGTTGCTTGTCAGAGATGAGCAGTGTGCAAACATGCAGCTGCCACAGATCAGTGGTGTGCATCAAATGGTGCAGTTTGCTTTCACTGTCTGTCTCAATTAATAGGTTTCAGATATTGTGTAAGTCTATGTAAAGATTAATAAAATCCATACTAATTTTTTATTGCCCTCCATTTTGCCACCTAGACAGTGCCCACTTCCTGAGAGTACAGAGGGCTGCTGTCAGAGCAGGGCCTTAAATCACCTTGGAATGGAGGGACATGGCAGCATTTTATGGCAGTTTACTCTCAGGAGTGCTCAGTTCTCTCCTATGTCAATTCTTTATTGTCTTAGGGAATCAAAGGTATATTTTTGCCCAAATCCTGTGCCACTTCTACATGGCCAGCCTAGCACCCAGCTCTCATTCCTTGATGCTCTTCTACATGGATTCCTTTTAATTTATGAAAACCATTTGCACTTTGCTCAGTGCTTCTTTCTGTTAAGACCAGGAATTGTGACACTTTCTTAAGAAAGCATTGCTGATTTTTTTCCTCAGCCTCTGGAAAAATGAGTATAAGCTTCAAACTCTTTGCAACACCCCTGTGTTTTGCTTGACACAACAGCCAGACTTGTAGTAAGTGATGGACAGGCCCAGGACGGGATTTACAAAAAAAGCAAGAACCATCTGACTATACACAACGTGGTACTTGGGAATTAGACCCCAGACTTTGTCTGCTTTTAAAGTAAACTTGCACTGTGGAGTGCTAACCTTCTAATCTGTAATTGTCAGCTCAGACTTGGCTTCAGATATTTCACAAAGCTACAACTAATAGAATTTTCCCCTGTGGAGCTGCAGAACGGAAATTGCGTTTTTGTTAAAATTCATCTACCTGTCTGTAATGTAATTTTTTGTGGTCAGCTTCTGGTCAGTCTCTCAGTATTGTATAAAACTGTGTTAATGCACAGTTGCAAAATTAAGTAAAGATTAGAAGCTTACTTTAAAACTTTGTGGGTTAATACAGGAAATCCTTTCTGTTCTTAAGTGTATTTATATGTGCATTTCTCTTTGGATTCAGTTTCAGTGTATTGGTACATTTAGAAACAAAAAAATAATTCTATCACCTGAACACTGCTTGGAGTTTTCAATCTGAGACTGACTGGTGACTGTGCAAAGAAATTCAGAGTTTCTAATCACAGCTGCAATGTTCCAGATGTTACATTCATTGTCTCCCATACCCAAGAAAAAGTCTTTAACTCAAGGGATGTGTGTTTAAAATGTTTGTATTGCCTTAGAATCTTACAGCTTAATTATTTTATTTTATCACAGATATCAGTCTTCCCAAGTCAGCAGCAATATGTTACACAGCAGCTCTGCTAAAAGCCAGAGCTGTTTCAGAAAGGTAAGCAAGGACGTGTGAAAACAATGGTTTGTTGCTAATCTTGGGTTTTGATAAGATATGAAGGGAGAAGGTCTAAACCTTTACGTTTTAAAATTACTTCTGATCTTTAAAGAAATCTTTGCTTTGATTAAAGGATTATTTTAATTTTTGAGTCTTTTTTACATCCCTGTTTGTGCCTAAATCCATAGCAGTAACATTTCTAAGAGCAAGTTGAGTGTATTTATACACTTGTGTGTGTAATAAAACACCATTTAAAATTACTTTTAAGCATCCATAAAGTTAGTACAGATGAGGATGTTTTTCACAAGCCCGTGTATTGGCCAAGTGCTTTTGTATAAATTCTATTTTCAGTGTTTGCTTGGGGTTTGTTTTTTGGGGTGGGTGCAGGATATTTGTGGTGGCTGCTGCTGACATTTCACTGTGGTCTGAGCCCAGCTCCCAGCAGGTGATGCTGGAACAGGGAGCTGACAGGAATTTTCATGTCATGTGGGCATGGATAACAGTCAAGATACCTGACTAACAAGAACCTTTTTCTCCTAGAAGAGTTTGATTATCTTTCTTGATAAATTAGCCAATTTTTAACCAACTCCAAGCTTGCAGTGCAAATAAACACTTGGTTAGAATTTATTATTTATTACTTTTGTTCAAGGTGGGTTTTTCTCCTCAGGTTCTCCCCAGAAACTGCCTCCAAAAGAGGGCTTAGTACAGCAGAAATTAGTGCTGTGGAAGCAATTCACAGAGCTGTGGAATTTAACCCTCATGTTCCAAAGGTAAGAGTATTCTATTTCCTATTGGACCACTTGTACTGTGGGCCAATGTATTCTGAAAAGTATCATATTATTATTTTAATTTTATTATTGGAGCCTTTCCAGCCCCATGTTTTCTTGATTTTGGTTATAACTCCAGCCATGGAGTTGGTAAAAACATCATTAGTATTTATATCATAAATGTATTGTGGCCAGATTATTTTTTTAAATAATAGCTGCTGTTCAAACAGGGGTTTTTGCACAAAAATTTAAACTTGGAATTTCCTAACTCATTGGAAAATCCAGTAATGTATTACTGAAGGCCCTTTACTCTCAATAAGGATGGACAGTAATAAATATAAATGTAGATATTTAAAGTAATAAAATAATCACAGAATGGTTTGTGTTGGAAGAGACCTTAAAGATATCTCATTCCAGCACCCTGCTTCCAAGTTCCTGAAGCCAAATTAAGTTCCCCAAGCAATGATCACTCCAGTATTCCAAACCCCTCTGTTCTGCTGGGCTTTCAACCATGGCTCCATGGTTATTGAAAGATTTGCAGTCACTTATTTTCTTCATCCACGTGTAAACAAGATAAGGAGTCTGTCACCACAGGCTGTAATTTAATGTCTGCCATTAAATGGCATCAAAACACAGATTCCACAGAGCACTGGGTGAAAATAAAATCTTGCATGGCTTTTTCCTGTACTGGTGCTGCTGTCAGTGTGAAAGCTGGAAGCAGGCTTGGCTCAGTGCAGGGTCTAATCCTCTGCAAATGGTGCTGGAGCCCCAGTGGCTGCTGCTGGGGAGGCTGGAATGATCCCTGTCCTGTCTGCCTGTCCAGTCCAATAGAATGTGCACTGAGGAAGCTAATTGCTGGGAGAAATTGCTGCTTGCTTGCATGACTGATCAAGAGCCTAGCAAGTTCATTTCAGACAGTCTCAGACAGATTTTTCTTTAGCCTCTGCCTTTAGGGGCAGAAGATTATAATGCATTATCATTATCTAAAAGTTCTTTTGTTTTGGGTATCCTCCAGTTGTTTCTGGAGCCTCATATACCTTTTTAAAGAAGTTAGAGATCGTGTCAAACAGGCTGGTGTTAAAGTATGGTCTGTAGTTCTGCAGACAAATGCAGGAGCTGATTCCAGGTTTCCGTAACTTGATTTTCTCTTCTAATTGTACATCTGTCCATTCTTCATGGGATTTTTATTACAATATTGCCTTGAGGCACCAGTTGGTTAGATGACAGAGCAGAATTTACTGGTGCAGGCTGTTTAGAACTCAGATGTGTGTGGTCAAAACAAACAAGTGAATAAGGGCAGAGAAGTGAAGCAACTTGCCCCATGGATCACAGAGGGGGAAGAAAATCTGATCTTTGAATTTCCACTCTGTTCTGTCCCATAGACTAAAAATGAGTATGTAAAGCAGGAAGTCCCTGTGTTCACACATCTGATGAAAGTGATTGTACGTAACGTTTTGCATAAGGAAAATAAAATAAGGTTTGTTTCTCTTTGTTCTGCTTTTACAAGGCTGGGGTTTGTTTGGAAAGTTAGAACCAGCTAGAAAAGTGGTCCTCTTAAGCCATTTCAAGTTAGAAGTCTGTAACTACATTTTGGTACTTCATGAAACAACCTTTTGCAGTCATCTTCTGAATATCTTCGAGATTTTCATTGTGTATAAAGACTTCAAAACCTTCTGTTCAGTACTGAGATACCTTCAGTACTGACACCTTGCCTGTTTTATGCTTAACCGTGGATGTGAAAACCTGCCAGACAGGAATTTTTCTGTTTATGTGGTAACATGGGCTCAGAGAGAGCCAAAGCCTGGAGCTGAGCACTGGTGTGTTGTGGCAATACTTGCAGTGGGGCTTCAGCACCACTGCTGGGTTTGTATTCCCAGTTAGCATAATGGAAAAGTGGGCACTGTGGAGAGCATGAGGAGTCAGGTCAGGGGTCAGATATTTGAGACCATTTTCCCACAGCAGTGCTGTGTGAATGATCCTTTACTGTGTTAAAAAAAAAAAAAAAATTGAAGAGGCTTAGAGGGGATTAGCAAGAATATTACCCTCCGGAGTGCAGGCCCAAGGCACTGAGAGAAGAACCTAGCCAGGCAGCAAATGTGCTTTATTTGGCTGGGGCACAACCCCATCTACATTCCTTGAAGAGTCTGAATGGGAAAAGTTAAGTCCTCAAACTGGATTAGTAAATAATCTCATCGTTTGTGGCATCTGCTGAAATAAATCGGTGAGGTTGCTGCATTCTTACACTTTGGGGGACACTGCAAGGAATTGCCAGCTACATGATCAAAGACCTGGATTAACTTGGGCTCTTATTGAATGAGACACTGTATGGTAGGAGAGGACAGCTCACAGGTAAATAGTAGAGCTGAAACTGTCATTTCATTCTTGTAAAAAGTAGTCATCTGTTTTAAAAAGCTAAGTTCAAATGAATACCTGACTTTTTTTAACCCGGTACATTAAAAAAAGGCATGTTTTGTGTTGCAAAGAAATAGGAAATGATTAATCCTTGTGTTCTTTGACCCCTCTGAGCATCAGATTTTCTGCTGATGGAGGGAGAGGGTGGAAATTGAAAAAAATCTGAAATCAAAGATACTTTGTGGTAGCCCAGTAAGACCACATTAAAAGAAGATTTTCCTGGGTTTGGTTTATTATTCTTCTTTTGGTTAGCACACTGACACTTTCAGATTTGCTGCTCATACTTCAGAGGTAACAAGTCCTCAACTGCCTACATTGAAACTTTCAGTGATGAGCAAACTTTCAGTAATGAGCAAAAATACTGTTGGTTTGGGTTTTTTTATCAGCCTAAATTTGTCCCTCATTGGTGTTGCACCTGCAGCATTATACTTAATGTCTGTTCCACAAGAATGTGTTTTTATTTTCTCTTACTGAAGCTGTATGTTGTTTCTTGATTTTTTTATTTTTTTTTGTGTGTGTGAAAGCCTAATTTAAGAGTCATGCACACAGGAGTGTGTTTTGGTGCTTTTCATTCCTCACTTAGTGCAGCCTGGCTACTGTGTGCTAGAAGCTCAGTTCTACACTCAATTATGTCTAAAATGACCACTTACATTTCACAATCAGAGATTTTGGAACATTCCCTGTAACCAGGTGTACTTCCCATTTTTTCTTTCAGTATTTACTAGAAATGAAAAGCCTAGTGCTGCCTCCAGAGCACATTCTGAAGCGAGGGGACAGTGAGGCAGTAGCCTATGCTTTTTTTCACCTCCAGCACTGGAAGAGGATAGAAGGGGCTCTAAATCTGCTGCACTGCACATGGGAAGGCAGTAAGTGTCTACTTTTATTTTTTTCTGTACAGAAGACTGGTCTCTGCCTTTACCCCCCCCAGCGTGGTTGGTTCTCTTTGTGAGAAGCTGGTTGCCTGATTAGCTACAGATCTAATGTCACTCATCCTTTTTGCAGCATTTAGGATGATCCCATACCCATTAGAGAAAGGACATCTTTTCTATCCCTACCCAAGCTGCACAGAAACAGCAGACAGAGAGCTGTTGCCAAGTAAGTGGTTTCTAAGCAGTAATGATAATAAAACACAGGCTAAGGACATATTCAGTTTGTGGTATTCTGTATTTACCTTAGTGTGATTTTTTTAGTTTGAGCTTCCTGTGAAGGGGATTCAGCTATTTGTTGATGTCCCTCCCAGCAGATCCTGAAGCACTTGATGTGTGTGTGTGGTAAATGTCAGCTTGATGCTGTAATAGCCTAAGTCCTTCAGAGATGAAATCTGTGTGTGGTACATTCAGGCTGAGGCTGGCCAACCTTGAGAACAACAAAGCTGACTGTTTGTTAAAAATTGCTTTTAAAAGAATTCATGGATTTGACTGCTGTTGTAGCAAGGAGTCAATCCATGGTTCCTTATCCAGTAAAACCTCTCTGATCTTACAGAGAATCTTTGGTTATTGTAGCTCCATAGAACATGCATTGCTTTCTATCATTAATTCAATGGCCTGTATTTATCTGCTGGCTGCCTCCTGGAACTTTTTATACATGTATTTCTATGGATTTATACTAATATTTGATACTGAAAAGTCTTATCCAGCTGCTCTTTGCTTCAAGGTTACTTTATGCAATGATGAGCCTACATGTTCTTTCCTTTGGGCAAGACAAAGAAACTATATCATTACTGTGTACTCGTGATATTTAGGAAAATAGCATTAATTTAGATTAGAATTGACCTGTTAGTTATACATCTTAATTGAATTCCTTTGGGGTTAAACTTCTATATCTTGAAGAAACACAATTCCCCTGGGACTGGAGAGGGCTACTGCAAAAGCACCAGCAGAGACCACAGCTGTGGAAAGGAAAACTGCACAGACGTGTTTCTATTTAAAAGCCTGAAGTTATATTTAAAATGTGTAATTTAAATTTGCCCCCAGACTGCTTTAAATTACTCATTTCTCACTTATGCAGGATATTGCACAAGGAATTCCTTGGTTAGCAACTAACCCTAAATTGTAGACTTCCCAGCATAATTAAACACCAACACATGCAGATATTTCAACGGGATCACTCACGCATTCCTGTTATGTTTTAAATATAAAACTACCTATAAATAAAATCATCTTAACACTTTTATTGCAGCACTTCCTCGAGAAATCTTGACGCTCAATTTTTAAAAATGTATCTATTTAAATAATGTTGACCAAATCAATGATTCTAAAAACCTGGATTGTTCTGATGAGTAACACTTTTCAAATGAAAAGCCCAGGGCACTTTTGCTGGGTTTACTCTTTTAATGGTGCCTTAGTGTGCAAGCATTCAGAAGCAGTAACTGGAAGGGTAAAGTGTCTTTTTCCTCTACAGACTGCAGTTTATGAAAGAATGCAATTGTATTTTCTCATTTAACAAAAAGAAGGCTCATTTATAATTTTAGGTTTTAGTTAGATTTTTAAAACAGCTTGTCAAGAAGGGCAGTCCTTTTATAGTTACTTATGTCTATAGAAACTCTTATTTTTCTCCATTTAAAAGTCTTTTCAAATCATTGGATAGAAATCAGGGCTGCAGGTATCCAGAGGCAGTAAGTAATTGCAAATACACCCAGCAGGTCCTCAGGAGTGACCAGTAGTAGAGCAGTGAGTGCTGAAAGCTCCACATGGCACCCTTAGCCTGGCTAATCACCTGCTTTGGATTTTGTTACCAGAGATTGGAAATTGCAAGGAGCTGCTACATACAGAATTTATAACCCAGTCCTGGCACTGTTTTCCTTGAGGTCTGCTCTGTCAGCTGCTCTGAACAGATTTACTGTAGTCTGCAACCAGAAGTCTTCAAGAAGTACGAAGAAAAAGATGTGTGTACAACATGCTGGTTGTTTTGTACTTGCTCAGCTTCTTACAGGGTGTAGCAACAGGATAAGGGCTCCAGAGAGTTGAAAAAACCAGAATTGTTTTAGTTGGTTTGGGTAATTTTGACAACTTGTGAACTTCACAGGTGTTCCCTCTGTCCTGGTAGAAAAGTAGGTACCCAAAACTGAGCCTGATGAAATGCTTCAGAAATAAAGCCCATGGAAGTGAAAGAGTGAGAAGAGAATATTAATGATGAAAACAAATATGTAAAGACTATTAATAATGAAAACAAGCATGTTCTGTAGGGAACAAATTTTTGAGAAGTACTGGAAGCTAAGATGTGCTACAGGAGTCTTTCCTTCTGAAAGTCCAGAAATGAGTTACAAGTCCATAAATTATTCAGAAAGCAGTCCTTGATTATCAAATGTCAACATTCTTCATTTTTTCCTTTCAGCATTTCACGAAGTCTCCGTTTACCCCCAGAAGGAACTTCCCTTTTTCATCCATTTCACAGCAGGCCTGTGTTCCTTTTCAGCCATGCTGGCCCTCCTTACCCACCAGTTCCCTGAGCTGATGGTCATTTTTGCAAAAGCAGTAAGTACTGTCTCTATCATGGGGTTTGCTAAGCTATCTCTTGGATTTTTAGGAATTTTGAGATCCAGGGTGGAGTAGCCTTCTGTGCTTGTCTCTTTTCTCCCTCTCTGCCCTGCTCTTTTTAGGGTTTCTTTCCCTTACTTAGCAGTGAGCATCTGCTGTCTGTAGCCTTGTCATCTTTCCCTGGATTCTGGGAGCTGAGGAGCCAAGTGCATAGGCAGCTTCTCAAAGGACTCCAAGCAGTAAGTTTGGCCTTTATTGAACTGTGGATCTTGGGCAGTAGAGCAGAGTAGCAAGTAAAGAGCTCTGAAGGGAATCGTTTATTCTGGCTTTGCTAGTCAAAATAGAGGGTAAAGGACATTTGCATCCTGGCTGGCTTAAAGCAACAGGTAATGGAGAGCCAGGAGGAAAACCTTTCTTTTTCGAGAGCACTTTGTTCCCCAAAGTGTTGGTTTTACTAGTGAGCCCAGTCTAGTGTTTAAGTCATGTAGGTCTGAGAGTGAGGCCTCGTTTCCACACAGTGGTGTTGATCTTTATGCTGAAAAATGTAGTTGGACATGCTGGTGACAAATTTCAGTTCTGCTCATAATTGGCTGAGTTCATAATAACGAGGGGCTATCTGCTTGATTAATTCTGTAAGGGCTGCATTAACAAAGTTGTATGATTTCCAAAGAGATACAAGGTCAAATGTTATGCTAACAAAGAATTGCTTGGTGAAGTTCCCTCTGCTGGGTTTCTTGAACCAAAAAAGAGAAAAGACTTTGTACAATTGAGTTGACTTTACAGTTGGGATGTCCGGTGACATGTCCAAGTGTGGGGAAAAAACCTCCCAGGGTTTAGTCATTTGGCAGTGTGTTTATTTAGTTTATTTTCTTTAGGAAAAGATGGATAGTGTCTGTTCAGCTGAAAAGAGATGATCAAGAAGAGTTGCCACAGCATTCCCCCAACCATATCAGTGGCAGCAGGCACAGACAGAGGGGCCCTTGACACTCTTGTGTAGCAGTTTGTTATCAGCAAAAGTTGAAATTGTGTGCTGAGATCATCAGGCAAGAAGGGGATTACTCTCTTGAGATTGACAGCTGAGAAGAAAATACCAAATTCCAGTATTCTGCTATTTTATCTAGAATTAATATTGACTCTCACTCATAAACTGATGATAAAAATTCTTCCATATTTTACTTATTAGATGATTGTATTTATGATTCCATTCCTGATGTTTTCAGAGGGATTCAGAGAACTTGTAAGAAATTATACTCAACATCAAAGTTACATTTTTGGTTTTATTGCTCACAGCAGGGGTGTTGTATTGCAATGAGATTACTTTTAAGGTCCCTTCCAACCCAAACCATTCTGTGATTCTGAGTTTTAGTTAATAGATTGCTTCAATAGTTTTAACTACAGATAATGCTGTGATGGCTGCTAACACTTTATACATACTCTCTTGTCTTCTGGGGGTCTGTAGTAGTAACATCTACTTGAATTTTTGTACCAAAAATGGAAGATTATTTTCTGTTTAATGATACCAGCCTTTCCACTCAAGCATACTTTAATAAAGCAATTACTATTTGCTACATTGAGCATTATATCTTCAAGTAATTCCTGTGCTTGAAGCCTTTAAAATTATTTTTCCTATGTATTTTGTTAGTTCAAGTATTTTTCATCTTACTGTTCTTTAATTTATTAAATAGAGTAATTTGAGATAATAAAGTTCTAGCTGGTCTATCTAGAGTGCTTTGACCGTAGATAAAAGCAGTGCAAAATGTATTTTCAACTCTTGAATTTCCAAGAAACCTAGAACACAGTTTTAGGAATGACAATTCAAAAGTGTTGTGTATATGGATTTTTTCACTGTAAATCTCCAAGCAGTGACTCTTAAGATTA